TAATATTATCAAAGCCTATGGTCAGATGGTTTAAAGAAACTGGTTCTTCATGTAATTTGCATTAATAGTAATAACTGTGTTGGTGCTTTCCAGGTCACACACAGAACTTCGAGGGCCTGTTCGAAGGCTCCTCTCAGGATCCAGGACACATTGCTCTGGCTCTGTACTCCGCTCTGTTCTCCTACTCTGGATGGGACACCCTCAACTTTGTCACAGAGGAGATCAAGAACCCAGAGAGGTGAGGAGGTCAAGTAGAATAAAACAGAATACACATTTATTGTTCGGCCCAGGCCAGAAAATCACCTTTAATGTCAGCAGATCAGATAAATCACATTACATCAATGTGGCAGATCTCATCACAACAATGAATACAACATAAACACAATGTACATACCTTCTGGGTTCAGATTAGTGCAGTTTGTTCATAAAGTTTATTGCACTCTGTATGAAAGATCCCTTATAGATCCTTTTGTTTGCCAGATATACACTGTAGCGTCGCCCTGAGTTGAGCAGCTTAACCTCCAAACAGTATGGAGGGGGTGTTTAATGTCACCAATGATGGACAGAGCATTCCTATGTAGAGATGTGCTGTAAAGGTCATCCTTTCCTAGGGATCATCCGAGGTGATGGTGGAATCCGTTTCTTTTCTTGGGCATAATATCAGATTAAAGAACATTTTAATATAAGATAAACCACATAATGCAAGCAAAAACATTTAAATCTTATAATGTTTATTTTAGATCTAATTGTTTTCACTGGGACTTGGTTGAGACTCTTGAATGATGGTTAAAAGAAATGATAAAGATGATTCAGATGCCAAAATGAACACTTTTGCTCGTTGTAATCATTTGTCTTGTTTATACTGGACATCACATGATCTTTCTAGATGTATCCAATGTAACTAAGTAAGCAAGTAAAGACTGGGACAACAAAGAAAGAATTTTGTTCTAAAAATAACTTGCTACTCTGCTGAACCCTCATATAAAGTTCAGATAAACTTTGGAATATATATTTTACAAAGAATGGAAACTGTCCAAACACTGGAAGCACTTTAGAAAGGGGGGTCTCTTAATGGCCAGTGTGTACAGGAGGAATGATCACAAAGAGCAAAAACTGTTTCAGTGTTTAAACATATGGGCATGAATTGCTTTAAGATGCAAACTTATCCTGTAATATTCTCATTGTGCAGTAAAATGGTTCCTGTCAGTGTTTTATGAGTATATATGATGTTTTTGCATTAATATTACTGCTGCATTAATATGAAGTTGCATTTTACAGTTATAGATGTTTAAGGTTGAGCTCATTTTCACTACTTTATATACTGTTGGGTAGTTTAATCTAAAGCAATGCATTGTAGCATCGCTGCCACAAATCTTTAGGAAGTCAACTTTTCGTGACCTCGTGTTTTCAGCTTCGTGACAATGCATTTCCAGCTAATCCAAGACGGTTTTTAAATAGTTTATTAAGCTTGATAAGTGGGAGAATTTCCTCATCTCATAAAGTAACATTTTATCCTTCAGTTTATCACAATCATTCAAAATCACCAAATTTGGAGATACATGGTTTTCACTAGATAGGAAGG